ACACCCTCGCAGCAGCAGAGCCAACAGCATCAAGCTCGACTGGAGCGCCGATAGGGAAGGAGTCGTCAGTGTGCTGCCGAACGTCGCCCATTGGTACAGCGTTTCAGATCTTGGAGCTATTCCAGTGGCCTCACTCGCTGCAACTCAACCGACTTGCGCCCTCTGATTCGCAAAGGACTCGGGCTGCCTAGAAAGTGACATCCACAACGCCTCTGCTACCATTCGCCCTTACCATGCGTCGATCTTTGCGCGCCCAGGAAAAGGCCAGAGGTGGTGGGAGTCAGATATCGAGGAAGAAGCAAAGACTGATTGGAAGCGCATCGGAGGATGCATCAGACGAAGAGAGAGGAGGCTCAGATGGTGGAGGAAGCGCTTCGGAGAGCGAGCAAGAGGCTTTGGAGAGCGAGGCGAGCGATAGCGCAGACGAGTGGAGGCCTGACGAGCGGCAGAAGGGTGGCAGAAAAGATCGCGGGCAGAGAGGTGCAAGACATTCGAGCGGGGAAACGGAAGAAGATGCGTCGGACATGCAAAGTCAGGATGACGTCGAGGAGGACATCGATCTCGATCAGCACAGAGGGATGCAGAAGCGCGAACGAGCAGCTGCAAGTAGGCCAGACAAGAAGAAAAAGGTGCCTCGAATCAAAGACGCCAAACTGGTTATTCCCTCAGGAGCGGAGCTCTTCCCGATAGGCAAGCCGCGGGAGAAGACACATGGCGCCGGCGCTGGCATTGGCGTTGGAGCATCAGCGTCTTCTTTCTTTAGCCTCTCCATGGATCACGCTGGTGGAGAAGCGCCAGAAGGGGAAGAAACAGAAGCGGCGCAGCGGCAAGAGGAGGCAAAGCGCATGTGGGAAGAGATTAGGGCGCGTAAAGCTGAGCGCGTGCAGCCGGCGCAAGGTCGTGACAGCAATGTCGCTGCCAGCAACGCAAAGAGCACGTCTGCAAATGGTCAAGGTGGAAGTAGAGCTCAGAGAAGCGTGCTAGACTACATGCCTGAGGGAGACAATGATCACGTCGCGCCTATACTGTGGCCAACAAGCACACCATCATCTCGTATCGAAGATCGCGCCTCGCTCTTCATCGGCTTCGTCTACTCTCTATCCTCCTCACGCCGAACCGAACAAACACGTGTTCTAACACATCTCTCTCGCGAGGTTCATCCGAGTCTGCCTTCCAGCATCTTTCCCGAGATGTTCGCAAACATGAGAGCCACACAGAGAGGTAGCATGCACGACATGTATGCTTGGAGAGTGTTGAAGCTCAAGAGGGGAAGAGATGGATTGAGCGGACCTGGGGATTGGGAAATCGACCAGGGCTGCGAAGATGATGGAGAGAAAGCAGGAGGTAGAGCTGTTCTTCGAGCAATCGAAAAGACGGGCGCGAGCGACGTACTGGTCATCGTATCTAGGTGAGATGGCATTCACGGCGCCTAGCGTCCCACGCAATTCACGTTCCCCCATCTGACCCTTCGCTGTACTCTGCACTTTCGCTTGGCTGCTAATCCTGGGAACAGGTGGTATGGAGGCACAATGCTGGGTCCCGTTCGATTCGACCACATCGAGAA